AGAGTGACTATAAGGGCAACATCTACAAATTTGCTGTTGTTTGAGAACTGACCTTTATTTTTTTTGGTCCTTAAGCTTCCAGAGATCCACACCAACAGTTGTGACAACATTTCCCAGTTCTCAGTAGATAGCATCACCAGCCAGGAGAGCAAGGAACCTATTTTTATTGCAGCTGGAGATATCAGGTACACCTGGAGATAATGCATCAATACTTCCAAACAGTGAGAAATACAATACTAATTTTATTTAACTGGAATGTTTTTGTTATCTCAGACGACGCCTATCTGAGCAACTTGCCCACACCCCTACCACATTTAAGAGGGACCCAGAGGATCCCTCAGCTGTAGCCTTAAAGGAACCGTGGCAGGAGAAAGTGAGGTATGTGTATGACATTCTCCACCAAGGATGGTTGGTTCATTGGTTTGTTGAGTCTGATTTAATCATTCCTGTGTCGTTGAATAGACGGATCAGGGAAGGCTCCCCCTATGGCCACCTGCCCAACTGGCGTCTACTGTCTGTTATTGTGAAATGTGGCGATGACCTGAGACAGGAGCTTCTTGCCTATCAAGTGCTGAAACAACTGCAGGTTGCACTCTTCATATTTTGTCTTTCAAAATGGGGTTAAATCTAGGGATGCATAATATATCAGTACCAAAGTGGATATTGGCCAGTATTGTATATTTCATTGTGCTTGCTCATTTCCCCTATTTTGTACATGATTTAATTTTTCACACTGTTCATTATAATGTTATGATGCCAAAAACACTTGTAGACTTTATAGTGATTAATTTTAGGTTTTGATTTGTAATTTATTTATCAGCTTTGTAAAAATGTAGCAGTTTAGCGTTATTTTAATGTTGGTTCATCCCTAGTTGTATCACATCGTCATTTTTAATCTATATTAACTTACAGGATATTATGTTTTAAAAATATTAATGTACATTACCGTTGAAAAGTTTGGGGTCGGTAAGATTTTTAAAATGTTTTTGAAAGAAGTTTCTTATGCTCAAAGAGGCTACATTTATTGCAGCAGCCATTCCTCCAGTCTTCAGTGTCAAGTGATCCTTCAGAAATCATTGTCATATGCTGATTTGGTTGTCAAGAAGCATTTCTTATTATTATCAATGTTGAAAACAGTTTTGTTGCTTAATATAATTGTGGAAACTGCTATTTTCTTTTCAGGATTCTTAGTTGATTAGAAAGTTCAAAATAACAGCATTTATTTGGAATAGAAATCTTTATAAATTAATGTCTTTACTGTAACTCACTTTTAATCAGTGCATCCTTGCTGAATAAAGTTATTATATATAAATCTTATTGACCCCAAACTTTTGAACAGTAGTTTACAAAGTGTTTATTGAAGTGAGGTCTGCCTAGGCATTGTTGCAAATACTGGATCTTCTCACCATCCTTGTTGTCTTCTAGATTATCTGGGAGCAAGAACGGGTTCCCTTGTGGATCAAGCCCTACAAGATCCTGGTAATCTCCTCAGACAGTGGCATGATTGAGCCAGTGGTCAATGCTGTGTCCATTCACCAGGTGAAGAAACAGAGTCAGCTTTCATTGCTCGACTACTTTCGACAAGAGCATGGGAACTACAATACAGAGGAATTCCTTACCGCTCAGCGCAACTTTGTTCAGAGCTGCGCTGGCTACTGTCTCATCTGCTATCTGCTGCAGGTCAAGGACAGGTGAGAGAGACAATGCTTGAATCATGTCGGAAAATAGATCATTTGGATAAGTTGTAACCACCCTTTTGTCGTCTTGTTTTTTAGGCACAATGGAAATATCCTGCTAGACTCTGAGGGCCACATCATTCACATCGACTTTGGCTTCATCCTTTCCAGCTCTCCACGTAACCTGGGCTTCGAGACATCTGCCTTCAAACTAACCAGTGAATTTGTCGATGTAAGCACTGCTATGTTTATATTGGATGAAGTCGTCATCGAATGTGGAGAAGGATTTAAAAAGATTGATCAGCTTCTCAGTTAAAATCTATGCATCTCTTTTAGGTAATGGGAGGACTTGATGGAGACATGTTCAATTATTATAAGATGCTTATGCTCCAAGGCCTCATCGCTGCTCGCAAGCACATGGAGAAGGTCGTCCAGATCGTAGAAATCATGCAGCAAGGTATTGTTCATCTGAAGCTTCAGGGGGTGGAGCATCTTTGTCTTTCTATATTTATTTGAGGACGTTATATCGTTCAATTTTTCTTATAAAGCGGTTTATATGTTCTGCAGGTTCTCAGCTTCCCTGCTTCCACGGCTCCAGCACCATCCGTAACCTGAAGGAGCGTTTCCACATGAACCTGACGGAGGAGCAGCTGCAGGTGTTGGTGGAGCAGATGGTGGACGGCTCCATGCGTTCCATCACTACCAAGCTGTACGACGGCTTTCAGTATCTCACCAACGGCATCATGTGAGCGGTGGCCGGGGTGCACACGGACTACAGTGCAAAAACTGGAAAAAAGGCTGCACCACTTTGAAAACCACTCCTAACGCCCGTTTCCCATAACCACCCATCAAGACTGATTATCTTTAAAGATGGATTTTTTGTGTTCTTTTTTTGTTTTTACCCTGACTGAAGAGGTCTTGAGCTGTGAAGTAACTGCTTGTCGTCTTTTTTTTTAACAGCTTTTCCTTTCGTTAAAACCCTCACTTTTTTGTCACGTCATCTTACAAAACTTTGGATGCCCAGAGTTGAATTGTATCCTGCTTTCCAGTGCCTCATTTAAACACTACGCTGCTCTGTGACTTACCTGTGTACTGACTGACTTCAACACCCCATATTATCATCATCAGCTTTTTTTGTTGCTATGCCACTAATGATACATACTTTGGATGAATAACATTCAGAATTTCAACACACACTCACACAGTGGGGCGGAAAACAGGAGATGCTGTATCAAAGCCTGTAAATTGCATTGTGAAATGAGGGAATCGGGTGGTAAACATTGCTGTATTGTTCAGCTTTGTGAAGTCAGTGTTACATGAACTGTTTAAAAGAGATATTCAGCTCAGTGCCGCACAAGTCAGAGACCATTAAGCCATGAAACGTTTGCTTAAAGTGCTCTCATTTGACCCCGTGAGAAGCGCTTGAGCCATAATAGGGTTAATGAAGCTTTTTAATTCAATATGGATGTGTTAAATGTCAAAACACCAAAGACACAGACCAGTGACTAATCATATGAGAGTTTTAACCTTGAATTGATAAAGACGACGACGTAAAATAATTAGGACTTAATTAAAATAACCTGGTTTGTTTTCTAGATCAAAATAAATGTATAAAGAAACTATTTTGAGTTTCCAAAGGTCTGGACTGGAATATGGTGGACTGAGAGATATGAACACTATTTATTGCCCTTTTACAGATATTTCATATGCTTACATGACACTTATGAAATGACACTTTCTCAACATTCTCTGTGGATTTCATTTCATTTTGTTGTTTTGTTTGGCACACGTTATAATCCAAGTTGTGCTAGTTTGTACAGCTAACCTGAATTTATAATGTGCATTCTTACAGCTGATCTCAATCTGAGGTGGGCAGCCATGTTTAAATGTGTGACTGAGCCACTTACGTTGTTTTTTTGTTTTTTAAACAGAGAGGAGTTGTTCAGAATCTGTTGCACAGGAGAAATGGAAAGGGCTATGAAAAAGCGAGAGAAATCAACACATTCTTTCTTTGTTTTTATTTCCTACACATGTACAGGTGTAAAATTCCCTGCCTAAAATTTCTAGTTTTTTAAATTATTTTTCTTTATTTTCATAGAAATTGGGCGTGTGTTGAGCCTCGTCTTATTTTCCTGTGACATCAGAGCTTCTCTTAATAGTTTTAATTCATTCTCTTAGCGGGAGCCACAATTTCCTTTAATTTGTTTGCCTGTTCGAGGGCAGTTTAGACCAGTGGTTCCCAACCCTGGTCCTGGAGGCACCCCAACACTGCACATTTTGCATGTCTCCTTTCTCTGACACACCAGTTTCAGGTCTTGGAGCAGGGCTGTCCAAACTCGGTCCTGGAGGGCCAGTGTCCTGCAGAGTTTAGCTCCAACTTGCCTCAACACACATGACTGGACGTTTCTATGCCTAGTAAGAGCTTGATTAGCTGGTTCAGATGTGTTTAATTAGGGTTGGAGCTAAACTCTGCAGGACACCGGTCCTCCAGGACCGAGTTTGGACAGCCCTGTCTTGGAGTCTCTACTAATGAGCTGATGACCTGAATCAGGTGTGTTTGATTAAGGAGACATGCAAAACGTGCAGTGTTGGGGTACCTCCAGGACCAGGGTTGGGAACCACTGGTTTAGACGATGTGTACGTTTTCAACAAGCTTATCTTTTCTCTTTACTATTTTATACTTCTATTGTTTCAACGTCAGACTTTCCTTTGAAACTTGTAAAACGGGCCAGCTCTTAAGATCATGTGAATAACCTTCCTTGTGAATGTTCCATTGTATAATAAATTAAATGTTCCCGTTACACAAATTGTATATTTTTTAAAAAGTCTTTCGAGACCCTGTGATTGATATTTTTATTTAATTTTTTTGGTGCAAATGTGAATATGACAATCCTACATACCACTATTGAAATTCTAGTGTAGTGTATGTCTGGGCAGATCCCTTACGAAAATATAATAAATGTAAAAATAATGATAAATAATAGTATTTCGTACAATAATAATACATTTTCAAAACGCTGCATTTATTAATTACATTTTACTACTGCAAAATACATTTTGTTTTGTACTAGCAATAACTGTAGTTATTTTAGTGAAAACTATGGTTAACCGTGGATGTTAAAATAAAAAGTACATTAAAAACGTCTGCTGGTTTAAAGGAGAATGGATATCAGAAAAAAAAAAAGACTTGCACCGAGTAGGGTAGTTAGAAATTGTATAAATAACATTTCTAACATTTTATTTCTACGTTTGTAAATAACTAATAATTGTAAATGATTGTGAGGCACTTAAATGGTTTCACCTTACTAGCTCCAGGCCTCCAGCCCTGGCCCAGAGGCTGATTTTCCTGTGTTTGTAGTGTGCTGTGATTACCTGTGGCGCAGGTAAATCCGCTCAGGCTCGTGGGGTGGCGCCGTTATGTGCAAGTATCTGCGATTCCTTCCGCAACAGAAAGAAGGAAAAACTCTCCAGTACCTGCCTACACTTGCCGATGCATGGACAACACCCGTAAAACCAATTATTTCATCCGTTTCACAAGTGTTTCCGATACGTGAAACACTATATCCAGAGTCGTTTACGCTTTTGGATAGAAATAAGAAATCGTATCTAAGGTTATAGGTGGAATATCAAATGGACGACTAGTTAAATCCTGGAGTTTCACCTGAAACTTGCGAGATTTCCTCGAAGAGTCCACACGGGACTGAAAGTTACCCAGGGTGTGAATACAGGAAGTACCTTGAATTCATCATGGTAAGTGCTTTTAAAACCCAACATAACTTATTAAAAGCATTTTAAGTTGAGTTAAGAGATTAAAAGCTGCAGCTGGCTCTGTGTCTACTACTATAGAAGTTGCGTTTTAACTGTCGACAAAACAAAAATTCATTTATCGGAAGAATCATTCGAATTTTAGACATTTACTCCATTATTTTCCTGTCTAGCAAAGTAAATATCAAATCATTAGTATGGCCTGAAGAAATAGTCCAGGGATAACTTATGAAATACACAGATATCTAGGTGTACGTTTTGCCTGCCAAAAACTCCATCAAACTCGGATTTGGGGACATTATAACGAAGAAAACTGACAAGAAAATAAGCACAGTAACTTTAGAAATTCCTAGAATACACGAGAGGACCAGGGAAATCTGTCCAGTTTGTGCAATTCTGTTGAATGTCAGTGAGAGCACATAGTAATAATAATAATTTGAATTTTGAAAGTCGTTTTTCCATTCTATTTAGGATCTGGGAGGGGAGCCCAAATTTTCCTCAGAATTATTGTTAATGACTTGTGCAAGGAGAATATACTCTTACTATATTTATCACAGATTTAATTGGCCATACTTAATTCTTAATCTCCCGACTAAGTATTTGCCTTTATTTGTGGCTTGAGGGAAAGAAATATGGCTCACGTTTCTTTGTTTTGTTGTATAGCTGCACTGCATATGGTATATGACTTAATGGCATGCTCATGAAGCTGTATAGCTTTAAAGTACAGGAGTAGTTTTGTTGTTGTAATAGCCCTGTCTTGTCAAAGTGTCAGAGGTTTTAACGCTTCATAAGTGCTCATAACAGAAAGTATTTAATAAATGTCATTTCCTCCTCTGTGCAGAGTTGCTGGGCTTAGTCAGTCAGTATATTCTTACACTTATTAACCCTTTAATTAACTTGTTAACTTATTAATTCTGCTCAACACCAGCTCTCTTGTCTAATGCAGTGCCTCCAAATGCATAAAGTAGCAAAATGCATTTAAATAATCTTTATGTAACCCAACAGTATGTCAGCATTCAATCGCAGGTGACCGTATGAATAATCTTTCTCTCTTGCACAGGGGAGCAAAGAGAAATATCACTGGCAGACCCAGAATGTGAAGGTCAGTGGTGTGGACGACATGGTCCTCCTCTCCAAGATCAGTGAAGATGGCATCACAGATAACCTGAAGAAAAGATACATGGATGACTTCATTTTTGTATCCTTAAGTCTGTAATAAACAATCATTATTTGGTTATTTGGTCTGGCATACTTAAATATACGCTATAGTTGAAAAGTTTAGGGTCAGTCACTTTTTTATTCAGAAATGAATGTTTTTATTCAGAAATGACGCATTACAGGGATCAAAAGAGACAGTAAAGACATTTCTAATGTTACGAAAGATTTTTGTTTTGAACTTTTTATCTGCCGAAGAATTTTTTGTTTCCACAGAAATATTAAGCAGTACCATTTTCAACTTTGGTAATAATCGAAGTGTTTCTTGATAAACATCAATCATAATAGAATGATTTTTGAAGTATCGTGAAACTGAAGACTGGCATCACAGGAATAAAATTCATTTATTTTTGCCATAACCACAACTCTTCAGACATACATTGGGTCTGTGCTGATATCAGTGAACCCTTTTAAACAGCTGCCATATTTCACAGATCGTGAGATTGAACTGTATCAGGGAGCCGTAAGTACAATATGCATTTTCTATTAGTGTCCGGTACATAGTTCTGTACTGTACCATGCTCTAATTACATGGATACTAAATGGAATTAAAGTTCAGATGAATAATCATTTCCGCAGGATAAGTCATTTAGATGTGGCCAGGCGGAGTAGAGCAAGAGCAATGCCACTGCATGTCCAGACTTGCCATTTTGCTCGCAAAGACTGCCTATAAATCTGTATTTGTTAACGTCTTCCCCAGGATGGCCAAATCATAGAGAGTGCATATGCAAATCAGGATGTGTTACTGGTTACGGAATAATGCCTCTACCTCAATTTCATGCAAATGTGACTTTTAACCCTGTAATGTGTGTGTATTCTGTCATTCGCAGGCGCAGTATGAGAATCCCCCCCACATCTACGCTCTGGCCGACAATATGTACCGCAACATGATGATTGACTCCGAGAACCAGTGTGTCATTATCAGGTCAGGGATCAAGGATCTGGCGCCCGCACCCTGAGGCACCTTTAAAGTATTGTATGGCATCAAAGGTTTGTATTATATGTGATCTGAATGTGTTTGTAATACAGCGGAGAGAGTGGAGCTGGAAAGACAGTGGCAGCCAAGTACATTATGAGCTACATCTCCAAAGTCTCAGGAGGTGGACCTAAAGTTCAGGTGAGGTTATCATCTGCTAGATCAGGGGTTCCTAAACTGGGGTTTGGGAAGGAACTTCAGGAGGGTTTGACAAAAAGCTAATAATGAATTTAAATATATTCATTAATGAATAATTAAATATAATAAAAAAATATAAATAATATAATTTATTGCATTTCTAATAAGTTAATTATATTAATTAAACTAATATTAAGTATTGCATTAAATATAATATTTAATAAATAACATTTTATATAAAATAAAAACAATCAAAATAAATTACTAAAAAAGGATGAAATATTTCATTTGTTGACTTTGATGATAAGTGACCATTAACCAAACATCAGAAAACGGTGAACATGCAAATTTGTTGCTTTAATTATTGAAATATTCACTTAAAATCTTAGGGGGTACTTCAAGTAAATATTTTAGGTCAGACAGGTTTGGCTAACAAACAGGTTTGGTAATCCATTTGTTAGAAGACCATTTGTTTATAGAGAGCCTGATTGAACTCAACCCAAAATTCATGTGAACCCATGGGTGTGGTTGTTTCTTTTGTTAATATTGCCCACATTCTGTGCTCATTGTATGTGAAATGTAGTACCTTTGAAATCACCTAGACCGTTATCTGACAATCATCTCTTTGTTCCTCTGTGACACTGAACAGTTCATCGCCAGTCAGCATCAGCAACTATAAAAATTTAATGATTCAAACAAATGAAGTGTTTAGTGTACATATCTTACGTGGCATATTTGAACTGTCTGTGATGTCATGTTGTTTCCTCTTTTAGCATGTTAAAGAGATAATTCTCCAGTCTAACCCCCTCCTGGAGGCTTTTGGGAATGCAAAAACCGTCCGCAACAACAACTCCAGTCGCTTTGTAAGTCTTGCTGCAATGATTCGTCTCAGAAGAAATGTATTTTAGATCATTTTATTATATGTGATCATTTTATTCCGTTATTTAGAGTCAGAATGTTTATTTTATATATATATAGAGAGAGAGAGAGAGAGATCAATAGAATTATTTTTGTAGTATTTAAAAATATATAATTAATAATTGTTCATTTAAAAAAATACATATAATGAAATATGTATCTTATCAATAGATTTTGTAACTGATAAAATAATATTGAAATTAAATAATTTTAATATTTAAGATTATTATTATTTTTATGTATTTTTTTTTACATATTTTTTAGAAGGAACATGTAAGACTCTCTGCTGTTTAGTCCCTAGAATCAGTGTGCTATCCAGTTCTCAGAATGTCATTTGGAGCATGCTGGTTCTCAACATGTTCTAGCTTGTTGGCTCCTTGTTGGCTGCAGGATTTGCTTGTAGGAGTGCAGTTTGTGTGTGTGTAGGCTGAAGTTGTAGGCTTTACTGTTCGTTTCTTTTCTGCACATGCATATGCGATAATGTCAGTGCACAAGCTTTGAGTTCACTGCATAATATATTTATTTCATACCTCAGGGAAAATATTTTGAAATTCAGTTCAGCCGAGGAGGAGAACCTGATGGCGGAAAGATCTCCAACTTCCTATTGGAAAAATCCAGAGTAGTGTCTCAGAACCATGGGGAAAGGAATTTCCATATATATTACCAGGTAAAGCTGTGAACTCATAGAAACACATCCAAGAAAAGGTGTGTGATGTGTTATGCAAGTTGGCAAATTGTTGTGTGTCATGTTACGGCAGTGTGATTTAATCCAGTTTAGGCCAATTGTGGATTGTATTGTGTCATATTAGTAGATTACTGAAACTGGATAAAATTCCTGTATGTTGTTGTTGTTACCAATGTTTCTGCAACAGCTCTTGCAAGGAGCCACCAAGGAGCAGAGAGAGAATTTAGGCGTCACTACCCCTGATTACTACTTCTACTTAAACCAGTCTGACACATACACCGTGGAGGACGTTAATGACAAGAAGGAGTTTCAAGACACAATGGTGGGTGTGAAGCATTGAATCCCCTGATAGAAACCTTCTGGTTGTGTTACTGCCATTCAGTATAAACATAAATGATATATTGCATTTTTAGGCTGCCATGTCGGTGGTCGGCCTGTCTTTGGATGCACAGGACACTGTGCTGCAGATTGTGGCAGGAATCCTCCATCTTGGCAACATCACTTTCAGAGAGGAGGGCAACTATGCTGTGGTGGAGAGTGAAGACTGTGAGTTTATGCTTGCATTTTATCATTTAGCAGGTCTGTGTATCCGATTCCACGTGAGAAGTAGTACAAACCAAGCAATTCTTGAGGAGCTTGTGTAAGGATGTTTATCTTAGCTGCATAATGAATTAGCTTTCTCACTCCGCTGCAGTCCTGGCATTCCCGTCTTACCTGTTGGGAATCAATCAGGATGGTCTAAAGAGCAAACTGACCAGTCGCATCATGGACAGCAAGTGGGGTGGCAAAACGGAGACTATATCTGTCACCTTGAACACGGAGCAGGCCTCCTTCACCCGAGACGCCCTGTCCAAAGCCCTGTATTCTAGACTCTTTGACTACTTGGTTGATGTGAGTCAATTTCAATTACTATAAAAATGGTGTTGGGTCAGTAAGATTGTATTTTAATTTTTTGAGAAAAGAGTACTACTCCGCAAGGAAGCCTTTGATTTATGAAAAGTGAGAGTAAAGACATTTCTTATGTTACAAAAGACTGCTATTGCAAAAAAAATCCTGTTCTTTTGAACTTTCTATTCATCAAAGAATCACGGTTCCACAAAAATATTTAGCAGCACATCTGTTTTCAACATATTAAGAAATGTTCCTTGACCACCAATTAGCATATCAGAATGATGCTGATGAAAATTAAATAGAATAAAAATAAAATATTTCACAATATTACTGTTTTTACTTTACTTTGATTAAATAAGTACAGCTTTAATGAGTGTAAGTAAAAAAAAAAAAAAAAGCTGACCTCAAACTTTTGAATGGTAGTATACTGTATGTCTCAAAAAGCAAAAGAAAAGTCATTTAAATTAGTTTGTGCTTGTGTTTGAAGACCATAAACAAGGCAATGCAGAAAGACCACGAGGAGTTCAACATTGGAGTTCTGGACATCTATGGTTTTGAAATTTTTCAGGTGAGTTAATTTGTGTTTTCTAAATGCACCTCTTCTTTTTACTCGTCATATTAATTTTATAAATAACCACATGCCTTTACCTCTCTAGAAAAATGGATTTGAGCAATTCTGCATTAACTTTGTGAATGAAAAACTGCAGCAGATTTTTATTGAGCTCACACTAAAAGCAGAGCAGGTGAGAATAACGATTTTTAATAAACTTATACACACATAGGTCTCAAGGGAGGTTTTTGCTGATGTTTTCCATCTCATTTGCAGGAAGAGTACGTACAGGAGGGAATCAAATGGACACCCATTGAATACTTTAACAACAAAGTTGTATGTGATTTAATTGAGTCCAAACTGGTGAGTTTACACTTTGTAGCATCAACCGGTTTCCATATGCATAACAACACCCATTCAACTAATGGCATCTAATGGGCATCTTAATAACCCAGAATCCTCCTGGCATCATGAGCATCCTGGATGATGTGTGCGCCACCATGCATGCAAAAGGAGAGGGTGCAGATCAGACCCTGTGTATGAAGTGTGTGTGTGTGTGTGTGTGTGTGTGTGTGTGTGTGTGTGTCTCATACCTTTGTTTATAAATTAAACTATTACTAATATTTTTTTAATTTAAATCTTTTTGTCACCTGATAGGTTCCATAAAACAGCACTAACTTTTCAAATCTATAAATACGTACATTGTTGGTTTGACAGCAGTTTGAAATTTGCAGTAATTTTGGGGATTTTTTACAGAATGGATTTAAACATGGTTTTAAACAGAGCAAAAATGATCAGAATTCCTATTAATAAGATAAAAGCACAATGCTAAAATATCTAATAAATGTCAATAAGGGTGTATTAATTCTTCATTAAGAGTTCTGTGTTCTGAATTTAGATGCCTTGAGTGTTTTAGTGTGATTCCAGCGAGTAGAGTCACTCTGATATTGATTCACTTCTTGGTGAGAGTAATAAGAGCCCTTATTTCCAGGTGTCGTATGATGTGAGCGGCTTCTGTGAGAGAAACAGGGATGTGCTGTTCAATGACATCATCGAGCTCATGCAGAGCAGTGAGTTGTAAGTGGTCATGTGGTTATATTTACTAGTATTTTAGCCCATGTCAGCTGGATTATAGCAGAAGCTTTTTAAAAGCCCCTAAATGCACTCATGCACCAATGCAGAACATCTGCAGTCCGGCAGTAATTCCTTAATGAAATAATAAATCACATAAATAAATCATAAAATCGTTATGGTGTAGCATTTTTATGGAGGATGGTAAGGTTGTTTGTTTTTTCTTGTGAGAGATATTCTGTGGTGTATTACTTCACTAGAGGCAACTCTGATTATGTCTTCCATGTGCTGGTAAAGAATAAACAGTATTAGGGCTTCAGAGATGTTTGAAATGATTGTTCTCTTTTTCTGGTCATATCCATAGCGCCTTCATCAGAGATTTGTTCCCAGAGAACCTTGAGGCTGAGAAACGGGGCCGTCCCACCACTGCAGGTTCAAAGATTAAGGTAAAAGAACTGATTTACAAAACAGAGAAATGCACACTTAACTAGAAATATTCCTACAATTTGATTTAAACCGTGTATTATGTTTCAGTTCCTAACAAAGTTACTTGGCCAGCTTGCATTTAGTGCCTGGCGAGGGTGCTGTATGCTGTGTATAGTTACAGTTTTGTATGATACATGAATGTGATGTTATGCTCTTAGATTTGTGTTATGCAATTGTTTATTTTTTTCTCCCTTCTCCCCTTACAGAAACAGGCAAATAATCTGGTCCAGACATTAATGAAATGCACCCCTCACTATATTCGATGCATCAAGCCCAATGAGACCAAAAAGCCTCGCGACTGGGAGGAAAGCCGCGCCAAACACCAAGTAGAATATCTGGGACTGCGGGAGAACATCCGGGTTCGCAGGGCTGGCTATGCCTTCCGACGCGTCTTCAAGAAATTCCTGCAAAGGTACAATCAGCTCTTACCAATGCCAAATGTCAAGATGCTAAATGCTATATATGGAAATTTTGTTAAGTTGGAAAAAACTGTGACATAATATATATATTTGCTCAGATATGCCATCTTGACCAAAGAAACATGGCCTCAGTGGAGAGGGGATGAGAAACAGGGTGTCTTGCACCTTTTAAAATCTGTCAACATGGACTCAGACCAGTACCAGCTGGGCAAAACCAAAATCTTCATCAAGGCCCCAGAATCTGTATGTACTTTTTTTGTAACTTGAAGGTAGTGATGTGAACAGATAATGTTACAGTTGTAATTTAATGTGATGTTTTCTTCAAATACCTAATTCATTAACTGAACTTTTGGGACTATGTCCCTTTTTTGCTGTTGTAACTCAATTTTTTAGAGGTGGGTCAGTTTATTTTAGTCATGGACAAATTGAATTACTTTGCAGTTTGGCTACATAAATGCATTACTTTGGCGATGTGCAAAAGATTAAAAGTCATTCAGACTTATTAAGTGAATGTTCTTCAGCTGTGGTTCACATGGCTTCTTGTAGAACTATGTTTTTTCAAAACTTTGTTTATACTGTATATAGAATAGACACTATAGGTGTGTCCTAATTCACGTACTTATGCAGTATGCTGTTTTTTAGTATAAGTAATTTCTAATGCCCAGATGATGCACTTGACTAACCAAAAAAATTGTGAAATGTTGGACAAGACTAAATAACCTTATATAATTTGCATACTAGACGATTGAGTATGTAGTGCATAGAGTATAGTGTGTCATTTGTTACACACCTAACAAAGTGGACACACTTCTCAAAGTTGCTTTGGTCATTTTGTGATTGCAGTTTGTTGATATTCTGAAATATTTTGTTGATATTCAACAGCGATGACTATGAAAAATAAGTGAGATTATGTCAATCTTTAGTTGTTCCTGCTGGAGGAGATGAGGGAAAGGAAATACAACGGATATGCTCGGGTAATCCAGCAAGCCTGGCGCAAACACATCGCTGTGCGCAAGTACGTCCGGATGCGAGAGGAAGGTAAGAGTTCATTCAGATTCCTCTCTTTGATACATGCAGAAAAAGAATTCAGTCCAGATCCCACTGCTCTTTGTATCCCATCTTCTGTATCAGTCAATAAAAATGGACAAAAAGACTCAAATCTAATATATAGGGCATTTGGAATAGAATCAAATGTACTTCATTTTCAATCACACCGATTCTGTAATGCTTTCAGCCTCTGATCTCTTGCTGAACAAGAAGGAGAGACGAAAGAACAGTCTGAACCGCAATTTCATGGGAGACTACATTGGCATGGACAACCATCCAGAGATTCGACAGTTCTTGGGTCGTAGGGAGAGGGTTGATTTTGCTGACGTGGTGGTCAAATATGACCGCAGATTTAAGGTTTGACTCAACGTCCCCTTTAACATTCTGAAACTTCCTGAGTAACTGTTTAGTAGTATTTTGTGCTAGTTTACTGAACCGACAGATGTTTTATTCTGCACATGTAGTTAATCTGACACATACTCACATGCTGTTTCAACACCCACAGACTGTCAAGCGTGACCTCATTCTCACCCCAAAGTTCCTCTATTTGATTGGACGTGAGAAGGTGAAACAGGGTCCTGAGAAAGGCCAGATTCGGGAGGTCTTGAAGAGAAAAATAGAGGTGGAAAAGATCCAGTCTGTCTCTCTTAGGTACTCTATCATGTAATATTCATGATAACCTTTAGGCCTTGAAGGATCTCCCTACATCAAAGCTTCAAAATGATTAATAAATCATACATTTAAAGTAGAATGAAAATAAAGTTCAGCAAAAATCAAAATTCTGTGATCATTTGCTCACCCTCAAGTTGTTCCAAACCTGTATGAATTTCTTTCCTCTGCTGAACACAAAAGATATTTTGTAGAATGTTATTAACCCATTTCTGATTCCCATTGACTTCCATAGTATTTTTTTCAATACTGTCGAAGTTTTGCTTATCTACATTCTTCAAAATATCATACAGGTTTGGAACAACATGTGGGTAAGTGAATGATGCCTTTAAACCAGTATTTAAGCAGGTTTTTATCATTTCTAAATTGCATATGGACGATGGGTTATTGATCAGTTATTGTATCTCTCTTTCCTCAGCACTTTACAGGATGACCTCTTCATATTGCACGAGGATCAATACGACAGTGTGCTGCAGTCTGTCTTTAAAACCGAGTTCCTCAGTCTTCTGTTCAAGCGTTACGAGGAAAAAACACAGAAAAAGCTGCCGCTGAAGTTTAACAACCTGTGAGCAATGTTTCCCTCACTGAGAAATTGACCATGTGCTGTATTATTCAGAAAAGTAGGATATGTTGGTCTTATAATTTCAACATTGAACATTTTTCTCTATCAGACTTGAATTTAAGGTGAAGAAAGGAGGATGGGGTCCATTTTCATCTGCTGGCTCTCGACAGATCCAGTTTCAGATGGGTCAGGGTGATGAAGCAGTTCTGAAGCCCAGCAGCAAAGTCCTGACTGTCAGTATTGGACCCGGTCTGCCTAAAAACGCAAGTGAGTCTGTGATGAAATTTTGTGTTTTAGTAAAAATATTTTAAATACAACACCAAGTTATACTTTTTGGGGTATAGAATCACAGTTTAGTGGTCTTGAGAAATTGACACCCATTTTGCATACAATTTTGAGATCATGAAGAAATATCCCCATTCAAAAATTTGGGTTTGTAAGATTTTTTCTCTTATGCTCATGAAGGCTGTGTTTATTTGATCAAAAATACTGTAAAAAAACTGTGAAATATTATTACAATTTAAAATAAATGTTTTTGGTTTTAACATATTTTAAAATGTAATTTATGCCTGTGATGCAAAGCTGAATTACTCTAGTCTTCAGGATACATGATCCTTCAGAAATAATTCTAATATGCTGATTTGGTGCATAAAAAACATGAATATGCTTATAAACATTCTTATTATTATCAATGTTAAAATCAGTTGTGCTGCTTAATATTTTTGTGAAAACAATCATATTTTTCTTCCAGGATTTTTAGAAAGTTCAAAAGTGAGATGAAAGACTTTTTTCTAATATGTCATAATTATAATTTTTGCAGGACCCACTCGCCGTGACAACCGAAAAAGCAGGTACATAGGGAACCAAAATCGCAATGTAGGCCAGTATTCACGTGGTAAGACCACAATTTTGCATATTTCGCAAAAGTTTCAGCTAAACTGTTTTAGAAATAGTTTAAAAATTTTCCTATGGCCTGTGATTTCAGAGCCTCCTAAGTCTGATCGTCGAGGAAGAGGAACCCAGGGGCAGCATGCAGGTAGAAACTCTCTGCTCCGCCAGCAGTCCAGTATGGATCAGCCCACCCTTCCCAGACTCCGGGGATCTAGCCGCAGTCAACGCGAGAGCCAGACCTACGCTGATATGGGCTTCATGAATGTTCCTGATCAGGGCGTGGCTGGGTGAGATGACGGATCAACTGACTGCAAGAAATTCAGATACAAGCAATTAGAAGAACTATATACTGACTGAAGACTTTACAATCTTAAATCCTGTTTGGCTGGGACTCACAGATCAGTATGTTAGTAATTGTAACACACGTTTTTAAGAAATTAATTCTGTCATTCAGGTTATTATAGTATTTTTTTATTTCTGTTTTCAGTGTCATTTGAATTCAATTTGATCTTCACTCTGTCAGTATTAGTTTTTTTTTAATTATTTTACTTAATTTTTAGTCATAGAAATTTAGTTTCAGTTTTTATGAGAATTGTTAGTTTTGATTTGAATGACAATTGTTATTTCAGTCTTTCAAAGGAAATATTCCCTTTGTTTTCTCTCAGAATGCATCGCAGACGTTCAAAAGAGTGCAAGCCTCTTCCAGGTTCAGGGGGACCCAAACCCAAACCCAGACCCCGCACACCACAGTGCAGAGCAATCTACGCTTATGATGCTCAGGACACAGATGAACTCAGCTTTCAAGCAGATGATATCATAGAAATCACATATGAAGGTAATCTATTTTTATAACATTAAAAGTGAATTTTATACAGATTATATTGGGTTAGCGAGTGCTGCATTAACCCAAGATGTGCTGTCTGCCCAGATCCTTCAGGTTGGTGGAAAGGCTGTCTTCGAGGGAAGGAAGGCATGTTTCCTGGCAACTACGTCGAGAAGATCTAAACCGGCATGCTATTAGACAGAATGTGATTCACTGCAGAAATTCTATCACGAAGAACAAAGCATCAGCGTTATATCAAAGCCACTTTGTGCCGAATCATATCCCCAAGATCACTGATGTTTACTACACAGGGTGCAAAAGGTGCCACCCTGACAAAGATGTGTTGCTAACTTGCTACATTAGACCACCTACATAAATCAGATGACATTTTTTAATTTTTTTAATAGAAAGTAATGTTAGACGTAACTAGAAAAAAAACTATAATGCTGTTTCACCATGTTACCCAGTGTAAAACACTATTTTTTTTAAATGTGTTTTTTGGAAAGTAGATTAAATATTTTAATGTATTTTACTAGATTTGTATTTTAAAGGTTCAATTTCTACCTTTTTTTGTACTGATACTGTACAATTGTATAAAATCAGAGAAGCTGTTTTCAGAGACTTGGAGAAAAAAATAAAATGGAACCATTTTTTGGTAAACTTTTTTCAGTATAAACATCAAAAATAATGTCTTAAAGGCCTGTTAATTCATTTGACAAGCACAATTTCTCATTTGTAGACAATTTTGTAATGAAACAGCAAAATTGAGGGACTTAATCTAGTTGGCATTTGATTGGACAAAAATCTGTGTAGGGCAGGAGTGGTTTCATTTTCCCTCAGAAAAATATTTAAAAATTCAAACGTGTATATTTGATAAAATATCAGATCGTTTCAACTTTGTCACCGTTTAGGAGAACACTAGCATAGAGAAGAGCTGATCTCAACGGTAACACATGGACCCTCTCATTTGAAGGTTTCTCGTGTGTCCACAACAAACTACATTTCCCGGCACACCATGTGACGTCAGGACGTAGTTGGCTTCTCTCGCGCAAACCTCTGAATCCGAGTGGCTTAATTTACACACGGTGAACCGCTGAGACACTGCACATTTTAGAGGCACTGAAGGACATTTTATACTTCTTTAGGATATTCCGTTACGTGAAAACCCTCGGGCTTCGTGTAACAATGGAGGCATATTTACGGAGCTGTCGCGATGTGCTTAAGGTAAGACTATGGTACAGTAACGTTACGCTTAAAAGAGAGGGTTACGCGTGGTATGTTTGCTTCTACCATTTTACCCACTTAAAATGTGGCCAGTGGCCAGAGCTTGCACTGTGCTTGTTTAGACATGCATAATCACGAGTGTGTTCGCCGTTTATAATGGCTTGGTGTGATAATTAATGAATGCTTTGTTTGATATACACTTGATATTGACACAAGTCATATGGTATGACGCGCAGGCGAAGACCCTGGCCGCATGCGCCAATGATAGAAACAACTACATTGAGAGAAAGTACGCAAGCATGTTTGTTTATATTTGTTATTTATATAATAACAATACTTATAATATTACTTAGTCTAATGTTATAATTTTATTTAAAAAAGTTATTTGTCATGTAACATTACCAGTGAATGATATTAATATATTTGGAACAAGTATGGCTAGAATGTATAATTGTGTGTGTTTATTTATATATATATATATATATATACACACACACACACACACATGCATGCATATACACTACCTTTCAAAAGTTTGGGATCAGAGAAATTAAGTATTTTGTTTTATTTAATTTTTTTGAAAGAAAGAAATTAATATTTTTTTCAGCAAGTATGTGTTAAATTAATAAAAAATTATGGTAAAGATGTATATTGTTAGAAAATATTTCTATTTTGATTAAATGCTGTTTTTTTTTTTTTTACTTTTTCCTGAAAAAAGTATCACAAGTTCCAAAAAAAAAAAAAATCCAAAATTCATAATAAATCAGAATGATCTCGGAAGGATCATGTGACACTGAAGACTGGAATAATGGATGATGAAAATTCAGCTTTGCATCACAGGAATAAATTGCATTTTAAAATATATTAAAATAGAAAAAAAGTTACCTTAAATTGTAATATTTCACAATATTACTTTTTTTTCTGTATTTTTGATCAAACAAATGCATCCTTGATGAGCAGAAGCAGCATCTTTACAAAAAAAAAAAACATTACAAATCTTACTGGTCCCAAACTTTTGAACGGCCGTGTATATAAAATATTATTATTATTATTATTAGGCTATTATTATTAAATGTACACATAATTTTACACACATAAATATACACACAATTATCATTGTACACTATTAAAAACTGTTTAAAACAAATTTAATGAGCTGTTTGGTGCAAATGGATCTTTTGGAGCTTCAGATAGAGACTATTTTCTAAAGGTGCTGTCAACGTGTTTAGTCAATAAGAACAATTCCCACTTTTCTAGTTTTTCAGCTTAATGCACTCAGTTTCAAAACTGAAGGTGGCCCTATTTGCAGAGACAATAACACCTGCTGTCCGGTGCACATGATCCTGACAGCATCTGTCCAACAGCAGTGCATCTCTCCACCCTAAACACTGTTATTTTAAACCCAAACACCGTGACACCTGCGCTCGCCCACTGCTGGGTGGATATACTGAAGCCCCCTGTTTACCTTGAGCCTCAGCTCATGGAAGCAAGCAGGGATGGCTTCTTTAACTAATTCAGTCAATGATTGAAGAAATTATACTGTTGCACTTGTGGTTAAAGTGCTTTTTGTCTGCACTGAAGCGTGAGGTTGTAAATAGAGCGCACACAAGAGCCCTTTTCCACCCTGACCCAAGACCCGCAGGTTTTGTACTGTTTACTCACTCTCCTGTGGTCCATTTCATATGATTGCAGTGACTAACTTCCTGCGCTGTCCCCCGGCCATGCACATATGGACATGAATAAGCATGTTTTTCCTGCACTTCCCCATCTAACAAGGATTTTGTGATGATTATCACATGAGAAAGAGAGATCTTGCCAAAGCCTCACCCCTGATCTGTGCCAACTGTGAGCTCAGTCACTTTGTGTTGACTGTCCATCGTCCAGCGTTTCAAACAAACGCTTGCCCAGATCAGAGTACATCATTTAATGCTGACGTCACGGATGGCTTCTGTATTCGGCTGGAGTAATGGAGCAGGCCAAATGCTAATTAACGCTGGAAGAGGAGTCATCATGGGGAGAGATAAAAGGTTTTATTGAATCCAGGGCGATGCATTCGGTGTTATTCTATTAAAAGTGCTCTTCATCTCACAAGTGGTCCAGCAAATAGGCTTTGATATACAATTGTGGGTTCTTAAGTTCCCAAAAAAGAGAGAGAGAGAGAGAGAGAGAGAGAGAGAAAAACACATTTTAAGTAACATAAATGTAGTCCATAACTACACTACCGTTAGAAAGTGTCGATTTTTCTTTTTTTATAAGGAAAGTAATACTTTTATTCAGCAAGGATGCAATAAATTGACCAATAATGAGTACCAAATCAGCATATTTAGAATAATTTATAAAAGATCATGTGACAGTGAAGACTAGAGCGATAGTGTCTGCTGAACATTCAGCTTTGCCATTACAAGAACAAAATATTTAAAAAGAAAAGTTATTTTAAATTGTAATAATATTTCACAATTTTACTATTTTTACTCTATTTTTAAATAAATGCAGCCTCGGTGAGTCATCAGAAACTCCAGATTTTTAACAGTAGTGTATACTCCAAGTCTTCTGAAGCCATACTATTATTCATGTTAGGAAAGCACTGAAATTTAAAGAGTTCACCCAAAAATGAAAATTCTGTCGTCAATTACTCACATTGGTGTCGTTCCAAACCTGTAAGACCCTCGTTCATCTTTGGAACATAAATTAAGATATTTTTGATGAAATCCGAGAGCTTTCTTACCCTGCATGGACAGCAACACAACTACCACTTTCAAGGCCCAGAAAGGTAGTAAGGAGATTGTTAAAATAGTCCTTGTGACATCAGTGATTCAACCTTAATTTGATAAAGCTACAAGACTACGTTTTCTGCACAAAGAAAACAAAAATAAAGACTTTATTTATCTTCATTTGTGTTCCAAAGATGAACTTCGGAAGATGAAGGTCTTACAGGTTTGGAAAGACGTGAGGGTTGGTTACAAATTGGTTACATTATTGTTAACGTTAAATATTTTCGCACAGTATTTGAATATGTGTAAGTGTGGATGAGATTTGAGCTGCGGCAGAGAGGAAGATTTTCAGCTAATAAAAACAAGTCACAAATATATAATTTGACTATATAGTGCATATGGCCTGCTTTTATGGAGCTTTTTTTTTCTTTTTCTTTATTGATAACCCCTGGACATTGTATGGTTTTATTGTATGAAAAAGAGCAGTATCGGCATTCATCAAAACATCTCCTTTTATGTTCCACAGAAAAAAAGCAAGTGATACAGGTTTGGATATTGAGTAAACAATGACATAATTTTCATTTTTAGATTAACTGTCCCTTTAAGAACAAATATTTACCTTAAAAGAAAATGAATTTTGTTGTCATTCATGTTATCATCTGTTAAAAGAATATACTGCTGTACTATATCTGGTGAGAAGCAACAAAATGTGTTTTATCTCTGACACATTCTACTCCACCTCCCACTGGCTGCCGGTTATATAGAGAGACTGGGTGATCATAAGTTCAACACTGTTTGTTTGTCAGATGAAGCACTTTGTGGAGCTGGAAGTCCTCACAGCCTATTGGATGCATTTTTAGCTTGTCATGTACTTACTACTTGCTGTAAATATTTGTGCATAGGAAATGTCACAGAAACCACAAACAGACATTTCAGTTTTGCATTTCAGCCTGGTTTAATAGAGGCCACCAAAGCCTTATTATGAAGAACTAGGTTTGCAGTTATATGTTATGAATTCTTGTCCTATATTAGTACAGCAGCCTGTGACACTGTTCTGTTTCATTCTCAGGGTTGTAGTAAGAACAGCCCAGGGCTGCATGTCGTAATGGGAAATGAGGCTTGTGATATGGACTCCATGGTATCAGCCCTGACCTTCGCCTACTTTCTTTCAAAGGTATGCAGTGGCCAACCTAATAAACCACTTTTGCTGCAGTGTTCTTGGAAAATTGTGTCAGAGATAATAGACGTGATAATTTTGGATTATTGTTTTGTTCATCATTAATGTTGTCGTCTCGTAGAGTCTTGATTGTAAGAGGATGCCGGTCCCTGTGCTCAACGTCCCACGGGCTGAGTTCCCCTTGCGTTCTGACAGCGCCTTTCTGCTGAGAGAGACCGGTCTGTCGCAGGACTGCCTGCTGTTCAGAGACGAGGTGGACCTCCACGGCCTGCACAAGAACAAACAGCTGACACTGACCCTGGTCAACCACAATGTTCTGCCCAGGTCAGTCTTCTGTTCTGTAGCACAAAT